CCCACAAATTTCTAGAATTTGTTTTTTAAAATAAATATTAGTGGATATGCGCATACATTTCTCTAAAGAATTTTATTGAATCCTGATTTTGAGCTCTAGGAACCTAGATTTGATCTTCCATCTAATGCACTCTCAAGAGTTAACTTAGTATTGAACACTTATTTTGTGATGGAATTTTACCCATAATTAGATGTACTATTTAAATAAGATTGTATATTATTTACTATTGTTACAAGGAGGTCACAATACTCCTAGCCATTAAATGTTAAAATGGATGGTTTAGAGTGTATAATAAAGTTGGAGAAATTTTATTTTGAACTTTGAGTCTAGCCAATGACATACTTACAACCACCTGATTTAAAATATAATGGACATGAGTGATTACGGCTTCTTTACTCTAAAAAAAATGGTCTTTTTGTATAATTTTCTATTTAATATTATGCATATACTTTTTTATTCAATTTCAAAATACCCATCAAACGACACACGATCATGAGTTTGAATAATTGTGATTGAATAGAATATTAAATAATTAATCTCTTATAAGTTTTTTTGATAAAACTCTATGTTCTAATTAATATTTTTCTTAAAGGATAAGTTAAGATACTCATATATAAAAGTATTTCTTTAAAATAAGCAATAGTTTTGGACACTTGATATCCCAACCTTAGTAACTTTTTTGTCAAAAGTTATTTTAAATAATTAATTATAAATAAAATAGAATTTTTTGATAGAAAGATAAATATTTATTAATAAGGGTAAGCTTTTTATGCTTCCCCTACAACATCAAACCTATATGCTTCCACTTATTCAATCATCACGGAGAGCGAAGATTGCCCCAATCACAACGTCATGTCTCAACACTATTTCATTTATAATTTTTTTATATAAATTATTTTGGCATCAAAATTTGGGTGTCCAATCCTCTATTAAATTCGCACTTGTAAAAAATATAAAAAAATATTTTCAATAAAATGAAATAACCATAATATCTTTGAAAATTTTAAGGGGTATTTTGGTCATTATATTTTATAAAAAAACTATTTATAATATTTTTTATAGGTACGCTCCAATGAGAAGATGGCATGTATCATCAAATTTCATTTTTATGAGTGCGCTCCAATAAGAATATGGCATGTATCAAATTTCATATTCATACAATTGTATTAAATTTTTTTTTAAAAAAAGTACTTGAGTCATCGGATCTATAATCAAACAGTGAGTGCTCCCTTGATCAAAATTGGACGGTTGGATGGTAGGGGAAGCATAGATCTTCTATGCTGTAGGGAAAGTATAAAAACATTTCCTTATTAATAGTAGCGAAGTATGATATCATCAAGATGAATAATAGTCGAGTATGATATCATCTACATGAGGTGAAATATTACCCTTATTGAACAATGATAGCTTTTTAATTACTAGTAAAATATCATTAGTTTTTCATAAAAATATCTATTATTCTCCTCGTAATAACTCAAAATATTTTTATTAAAAAAAAGTGCAATATAAAATAAAAGGCAATCAACAAAAATATATTGAGCACATTAAAAAAAATACTCATGCACATGAGTACCGTAGCATAACCTTTTTCATGGAGGGAAATGGTTTGATAGGGGTGCATCCCTTATCAAAATAAGGAGTAATGTCTCACCTAATAACTCATTGAAAATTGTAATTAAAGTATTAGAAAACCATTACATGGATGAACTCAACTTGAACATTGTAAAAAAAATTTTGGAATTTAAAGTCGTAAAAAATTGTGTATATTTAATAAATTATCTAGACCGCCCATTTCGCCTTAAAAATAAGTGTTTAAAGATTCACAAGATCCGTACTATTTTTTGATTTTCAAATTTTATTATCGACGTTGAAAATTGATTTTAGAACCGTTATGAAGATTTCTAGTGTCGAAAGTGCTTTTCAAATGACGATTTGAGGTGGGGGCTTTATTCGGTTTTCATAAAGCATAGGCAGTATAAAAACTGCATCTAGGAAATAATTTGAGCGGATTGTGTTTAAGGCGCGGGAGTAAATACACAACATGTTCTTGCGGAATGTAACCCTTTCCCTAGTTTTAAAATACTAAACGCCGCGTCAAATCTCTCTGTAATTCTTACGGGAAAATCCATGGGCGGGGGCCTCTCTCTCTCTACTTTATTGGGTTGCTGAAACCCATTCTGTGGGCGTGTTTCCAATGGCACCGGACATGGACAATCATATGATGAATGAGCAGCCGGGCTGATAGTGACTCCCCCCACCACCACAGCAAAACCATGAACCCCTGCACACCATCTCCATTTCCATTCCCCACCAAACCCCATGAAAACTACCAAGTTTCTCTCTCTTTTCTTGCTCATTCACATCATGGCCGTGGCCCTCTTAATCTCCATCTCTCTCATCTTCTTGGGTGTCACAGTCCTCATCTTAGTTCACATCTGCATCATGGGCAGGCCTTCTTCTCTCTCATCCCAACCTAGTGAGAGAAAGCAAGGTGGGTTGTCTCCTAAAGAGTTGCAGAAGCTCCCCTGTTTCAATTACCAAGTTGGGGAGAAGAGAGAGACAGAATTGAGCTCTGATTGTGCTATTTGCTTAGATATTTTCATGAAAGGGGATAAGTGTAGGCTGCTTCCTTTTTGTGGCCATAGTTTCCATGTAAAATGTGTGGATTCCTGGCTTATGAAGGTACCCAGGTGTCCGGTTTGTCGAGCCGAAGTGGAGTCAATGGGCTTGGAGGCACGAGATGATGGTTCCGGATGTGGGTTCAGGTGTGAATCGAGTTTGAACCAGAGGATTGAAGTTCGGGTGTAAATACAAGATATCAGATGGCTTTGAGGTTCTTTAATCTTGGATTTTGAGTTTTTTTAGGTGTAATATGGATGTGGAAATATTCATTAAAGTCTTGTTTTTTTTGCCTTATGAGTTTCTTTTTCCTGATTTATTCGTTGCGGTTTGATTGGTAGACTGGAATTCTGATATTTCCCCTCTCTGGTGGCAGATTTTGCAGCATAAGGCTTTTTCTTTTTTGTGAACTTTTTTCTTTTTTTTTGAACTCTAACCATGAGATTTTGCAGCATGAGTTAGCTATACTTGCAATTTGGGAATTGAGAGAGAATATAGTTTTTTTGAGAATCGAGAGAGAATATAGTTTGAGCTCTTTATTATGTGAAACTACAAAATGATGGCCTCATAGATCTCAGTCCTCTTCTATTTGAATTTATTGTTCCCTTAAGGAGTTGTTTATCCTCTGGCTTAGTTAAGTGTGTACCACCTTAACTTTCACTATGAAAAATCCATCGAACGTTGATGTGTTTTGCTTTTCTGGATGATTGTGAGTTATCCAAATGAGTCAAGATTGGTTATGGCTCAAGGTCTATTCGAAAAGGAGATAGGAGGTATTTGATCTCCTTGGTGTATGTAGGATCCTTTATATGATCCCGGCCCTGCTGCATTCTTAGGATCCTTTACATGAGAAACAGGAGTTGGTGTTGCAGTTCTCCGTAACAGGGGATTAAGTGATTTGACATTTATGGCCTCCCCAGTAATTTACAGTTTTAGACTTTCTTGCTTTCAACAAAGAAGTTGTTGAGAATCCTTCTAATTTCCATGCATTGCACTTCAGTTGTGACCCAGTTTACATGTGAAAACACTGCTGCTACTGATTCAAAACTCTTTGATGGGCTTAAAGTCATTGGGTTGTTGCATTTTGTTTGAGCTGGGACAGAGGCTATGGTTATATTTTAAAGAGAGGCTTTTGGATATGGGAATTTCTTTCTCTATAACTCCTATTGAATCTGTTGGGCTACGGAGAGGATAATCTAGAACACCTAACATGAAATATGGGTTGGGAGAAACGGGATGGTTGCTAAAGTTGGAAAATTAGGAACCTTCTTGTGTGTTTCACGTAAAATTTATGCATTTTTAAGACTTGATAATATAGATGTGTCCTATTTATCTTTGGTACAAGGCAACCACAATTAATCTTCACCATTGGATGTGAAACTAGATGACTGCATTTATTCCATTGACCAAGCTCAAACTTCAAAAGAATTTTCTCAAACTTTGTAATACACCGATGCTCTTAGATTTCACATTGGATGGTTGTAAGTAATTGATGACCTGCTTGTATCAAATGTAAATGGTCTCATTGTATATAAATCCCCTGAAATATATAGGCTAAGGCGAGGGATGTACTTTGGGTTTAACTGGTCAGTAGTAGACAGGGATGGGCCTAGCATTTTGGATAATTAGGTGGGGGAGCTTCATTTATTAGTGTAGGAAATGAGACCCATAAGTTCCTGGCATTTGTTCTAAGTTAAAAGGAGAAAGACGATACAAAGACTTTTTTTACAGACAGAAAGTACAAATTGAAAGGGCGATCTTGAATTGTTGTTTGCAGGGATTTTGGAGCAAAAAATATGAAGGGCTGAAGAACTAGTTTGGGGAGAACTTTGAGGAAAGTTAGAAGGAAATAGATAATTGAGAAGTTGTCTCCAACATGGATGATATACTATGAAAGACTCATTTTTAGCCCTTGTTTTCAAGGATACTATCATGAAAAATATCATATGATGGAAGAAGTATTTTAGATGTCTCATAGCCGGAGCATAATTGGTAAGATACTACGGAATAAGCTCAAAAAAAAAAAAAAGATTCCTTGCACCAAACGATG